GGACAAACAAACAAACATACATACAAACAAACATACATTGGATTTTATATACTGTATATATGTAGATTAAAGTGATACAAACAAATTTTATGTAAATGATAAAATTGCATTAACCAAATAAAAATATAGGCATATAACACATCAAAATGAACCTCAGAGTGTGTAGATTTGCCGAAAAGTATTGATGTAAAAGAATTCTCTTAGGGCCCCGCCCCATAGACCGATTTTCAGCCTTAGTTTAAGACGTTTAAGATATTCGATTAAATGAGTGAACAGCTGGCCAATGCAATTGAAAATAGTTTGTTTATTTACATTTCTGTACTTATTGTATTATTTACTTTTGTGTTCTTTAAAAAAGTGCGGTCAATTATTAACATTGATAATATTTCTAGTAGTATACTATACTATACTATAGATACTATTTCTATACAAGTGCGTGCTTTAAGGTGTTTGAATGACGATGAATTTGAGATGAACAAAACATGTCTTTTGGTCGTCCAAGAAGTAAGTCGTCGTGAAAGAGAGTGGCGAGTTCGTGTACAACCGTACCCACCTCGGCCACCTCAGAATGTGGTACTGTATGAGGTATAAGGTCCCGCTGCTTTTAACATTCCTTTTGATGAGAACTTTTCAAACTTTAAACCCCTTGAATGAAATATTTAGAAATTTTAGTGCACGGTATTTTAAATATGAGAAATCTAGGAATCATTATAGGTACCCTGTGTTTTCATTTGTAACATTTGGTGCTGGCGTTAAGACATCCTGAGGGTAATGGGCCCTATTGTTTTACTGTATGTGGACAGGTCCATCACTACGCGGGTGATCTCTATACGTCAGGCCCTCGAACTCTTTAAGGACAACTTTATGTTCTTGATGTAAGTGATGCTACTAACAAAAGAATGGAGAACAACTTAAACGAGTTAGATCAGACAATTTTGCAGGAATTGGGAGACACAAATAACGCGAGATTGTATAAGAATAATCTACACCAAGTTATGCTAGAGGAAAGTGTTGTTGCACAAAGGGAGAGCCGACCAGTTAGATAGTATATTTTAGCATTTCATTCTTGTTGTACATAATTAATTACATTATGACCAAAAAATGTTATTGCATGGAATATGTACAATTTTGTGCTTTGTTTAAATTTCTTGACTAGTTTGTCACACAAATTACTAAGTTTTTCTGTAATGTCCTACACCACTGGTATTGGTTACGTCTTTGTTTGTTATAATCCTGGTCTTGTTTTATTTAACGTTAATATTTTGTTGAACGCATAATTACAGTAATTATAGCCCATTGACGAATGGCATCTTAGTAGTCCAGGGTCCATTTTGTTCTGGAACGAACCAACAGCCTTCAGATTCCATGGCAAGCACTTTAACCATTCGTTATACAAGTTTTAATAAACAACGTGTGATTCCATGGAGGGTCACTAGACTCATCTTCAACGGTCAGCTTCAGAAAGAGCCATTGAGAACATGTCGTTTCTAGTAACATTTCTCATGAATGGAACTGTTTATTTACGTAGGCCGGAAGAGGTTTATGCATTATGTATAGCTTTGAGCAAACGTGGACTGGTCTCCTATAGATAACACTGATACAATGTAGATTTGTGTGAACTCTCGTACAAGCTAAGTATACACCTTATTTCACAAAACAGTAGTCTGAACTATAATAAATAGTAATAAATAATAATAATAATAAATAATAATAACATTCCTACAGCTGTTATTTGAAACCATTTAAATGAAGCTACAGACAATTCTTCATAAAACAGTTGCTTCATACTGATCAATAAACTATTTCTTGCCATGGAGCCTTTGAATTACATTGAGAAAAATGCATTTTGTTTTGGTTACTATAAAAAATGTATTTTAACGTTTGACCTGATTTGTGTATACAGTAATTCTGTTATTAGTATTGAATATTCTGACTTACAAAAACCAAAGCAATCGTAAAACAGGTCTAAATATAAATTAAATGCAATTATTCCTTGCACCACTTTTAGCTGAACCAATCTTTCATATACATATTTCATTTGCAGATGTGGAATGTTTATTAATATTCTCTACCCAGTTACTATATCATATCAATACTATTATGCCTGCTTCGGAAAGTCCTAGAGGAAGATGATTTGCAATTTCGACTAGGCTATATCTTGAGCAAACAAAACCCCTACATGACTTACACCACTTTAAGCTGAACCAATCTTTTATATACTATTTTCCAAAGGTACTATACGTGTTAACAACCAATTTTCCACTTTTGAGAGATTTTTTAGTGCTGGTAGCTGAGGAATAACTTTCATATTGTTCCAAAAGGCTTGAGACGTTACTGCATTTCTTTTTATAATGTAGAAGTACACCGATTGCAAGAAAACGATGATGTCTGACAAGTCAATGTATCTAGAAAAGACAATTAGTTTTTCATTAGGCCTAATGTAATGGACAACTCTTTCCTTCTTAAGGAATATCTAAAAATGTTTATTTTCATACCCATTGATTATGTAACCTGAACAGGTGACTCAAGCAGTTTTAAAATAATGATTGTTCTGTGGAACTTTTGATTGTGTCAAACAGTTTTGCTTATCAAAAATCCTCAAGTAATTAATATATAAAAAATTATACAGTCACTAAAAATCATAAAATAATTTATTTTTGTAAAAAAATACAACCGACTTCAAACGCTCTAAAAAGAATGAAATAATTTCAATAAAATAAACTTTTGTATTAGGCAAGCTCACGTATTTCAAGTCGGCGCGGCTCAAACTGCAAATATGATTGAAACTAAATATTGTGTGTGTATTTTGAAAATTAATAAATTGTAGCTGGATAACATAAATATATAAAAAAACATACTGAACTGTTTTGTTTATATATTAAAGGAAATATCTTCTTGTATTTTATGTTTAGGCCTACTTCAGAATAAATGCATTATGAAAATAACACACACAAATGTTCTATATGAATAGGAAAATAATTTAGTTTGATATTATGATAGGGAAAAGAAGCTAGTTTAGTATTAAAACGTTACTTTTCCAATTAAGAAACATTTAAATGCGTTATACGCTTTTTAAAGATACTCGTTAATACCACTATAATGCCGATCTCTGATTACGGTAATAAAATAACACTTAACGCATAACTATGAAAAAGACATGCAGATTAACACCTTTAGTTATAGATAGTCATCTGCAATATGGACACCCTCTTTCAATTTTGTATCAAAAATCATCATAGAGCCGCGCCGACTTAAAATACGTGAGCTTGCCTAATACAAAAGTTTATTTTATTGAAATTATTTCATTCTTTTTAGAACGTTTGAAGTCGGTTGTATTTTTTTACAAAAATAAATTATTATACGTTTTGTTGGAATCGAGTATAAACTATAGCTACTACTACTGTAAAGTAAATAAAGTTGATTAAATTATCAACTTAAATTTTCGCTAATGAACTTTGATGAATGTGAAATCGGTTTCTATATTCAAGTTTAAGGTATTTTCAGTCAAAAATTACCTTCTTTTTTTTAATTTATTTTTCTTTTCCGAGTTTGTTTGGCTCTTCTACCCGACCGATTTTCATTATTGAGGTCTCAAATTAGGTAGGCCCTATGCACCTACAGATTTCACATCAAGCATCGGTATATATTTATCTATTGTACTCAATCAAAAATCATAAATTTGATTATTTCTCGGATATGAAATTTATTTCAACGCTGAGGAGCATCATGGGTTCTCTAGTTATGAACGAACAATAATAAGGTTTTCTTCTAAATATTGTTGAGGAATCAACTTTTAAGTCGTTATATCCCTCAAAACTGATCATATTAAATATAATTTTGAATTCATGGGACATCTCTTATCGAAATTATTCCCTAAAATAATCGGTGATTCAAAGACTATAGTCATCAGTTGTAAGTGCATCTTTGTAGAAAAATAGGTGTTTCACGTCAGCTACTCTTTGACCTTAGTATTTGACAAATTCCTTACAAAATAACGAGATGGATGTCAACGCAACGTTTGATATTCTTAAGGATGGTGATAAAATAATGAACCATCTAATAGCTATCTATATGGTTGTCACAATCTACTAGGTTTACCACCAACTATGTCGGCGCAATAGTCTCATTCCATTAAAATTCATATATAAATTCAAAACACTGCGTTATACATTAGCCATATCCACTATGAATAATAACACTGTTTAATAACACTTAGCTCATAAAGTGTCACAAACATCCCCTATTTTACAAAAATGAAAACTGAATAACACCCAACACGAGCACAAGGAATAGCGTACATATTAAATTACGTCAAAGTTCTGCTATATAAAGCCATTATGTCTGTCTGAAAGAGCATTTACCACTTCTGCGTGACAAGCGTCTTTGCTTCTTTTTACGCCGTAATCCACTTTTATTACTACCTTACCCTAATAAGATTTCCATATGAGATTCATCAGTTGTATCAGCGTTTTGGAATATGTTTTATATTGTAGTCTTAAAAATACCAAATAATCTGTCCTACTGTATTGTTTATTTAAGGTATTTTGTTGTTTCAATTTTTCATTTTCGACGTTTGATCAAATAAAAACCACAACGGTACCAAGTATCTTTAATGTAACATTAACATTATCCCTGGTGATTTTTACCATCGACTGTAAACATGGCAGTTTGGCGTAAAATAAATTAACGTGTTGTGGATTGCCAGGTTTAAATTTCCATCTTAATCAATTTAAATTCAACTGAAATTTAAATAATAAAAGCCAAAATTTGATATAAATAAAACACGAGTTTCTTTTATATTGCGTTACCAATCGAAATAAACTGTACCGAGACAAAACTCGGTTCCCCGGGACTTTTACTTATAATATTGCCAGTTTTTTTACGTGATTACAAGTTTTTAATTGTTTATTATGATTTGCACTTTTTATCTCTAATCTCAGTGACACACGCCCTTCAAAACCATTTCTTCGCTCACTATGTTCACTCTCTTCTGTCCCCAGACCTGATCAGACGTCCCAACCCCTTCTACAGCGACAAGTACCTAGATGCCTTCCGACGGTCCGTGGAGGAGCCTGAACAGTTCTGGACTGAGGTGGCGAGTTGTGTCTGTTGGACCAAACCTTGGACCAGAGTTTTGGACAACTCCGACCAACCTTTCACAAAATGGTCAGTACAACGGTATACGAGTAGACAGATTAGTTACATTTTCAATGACAAATAATATGGTCGCGCATTGATTGCTTCACAACGATCCTTAATTGCGCCAAGCCCCCAAAGAGTCCCAAAAATGTTCCTTAACTGCATCAAGTCCAAGTCCGGTAGGGGTGAGTTTCCGGCAGAAGGATGTCCTGTTTACATTTCATCTTAACAAATCCTAACTAACCTAATCCAACCTTACGTAACCTAACCTAACCTTACCTAACCAAACCTAACCAACTCAATTATACAGTTAAAGTGGGCTGCCACTCGGTGCAGTTAATGAACGTATCAGGTGGCTCCCTGGATTAGTTGGCGCAATTCAGGAATACCCGACTGACTGACAAGTCAGTTGTCACAATTAATGCCCGCCCAATAATATAGCCATGGCCTACTTGAATGTCTTGGAATGTTCGTGACCTTATAGGTGTATCAACCTTGAACTGTAGAGGGACATAAGATATCTGAGGGGATTGATCAACAAGCTTGAAAAAACTCCACTTTTAATCTCCCTGGACGATATGAACTCGAACAGAATAATTAACCTGAAATCCCCTGATTATTTTTGAAATGTTGAAGGGTTTTAAACTGTTTATCTCTTTGTTCAGTAGACAAATCTTTCTTATATAATAAAATAAACAGTTACCTTGTTCAATATCCTTTGGTGTTGTTAGATGACGAACGGTTTCGTGACGACACCAAAGGATATTGAACAAGGTAACTGTTTATTTTATTATTTAAATCGTCAATATCCAGTAGTAGGAAAATGAACTCTGAAATCTTTCTTTTCCAAATGTAGCAGAGATCATTTTAATATTAATTCTGCAGGGATATTGTTACTAGAAGAATAGATGGCTTCCGAAAGTGGCAAGAGCATTGCTTATCTAAAAGGATAAATTTAATCGGTTGAACTTAGAACATGGGAATGATGAACGATATATTCAAGGAGAAGCGTGTAGACTATGATTTATCGTTTTTGATACCGGTAACTAGAGATTCAGAGACATACATTACTAATTCGTACTTCTCCAGGGAATCCTAATGAGATACTGTCGTATGCCATCATAGATTACATTTCCATTCATTTGTCGTTTGATTGTAGCAAACTGTAATGGATTATTTTTTTGATATTTTTAATCCAAACTCGGGGGTACTTTGCAGAAAATCTCGGCTATCCTGAAAATTATCTCTTGATTTTTTTCTCCAGGATTCTGGCTAAACTTTTAGCATATAACTTTAATTTAAAGGCAATAATCCTGTAGTAATACAATTATGTGATTTGAACACTCTTCCAGTTAATGAACAATCTTAACACCTTTGTTTTAATGTAAAAAATATTATTCCGTTTGATTAATTTATTTTATTGTTGTTTAATTCTTTATTATTTAACTCTGTCAGGGTAATGTAAATTTTACATGTTCACCTTGCAGGGCAAACAAAAATGCAGTTATAAGAAAAATTTTAAATTTTTTTTGTAGTTCCTTTCAAATTTGTTTCACAATACAACCCAAACATTTTACAAACAGACATAGGCTAAATTATTACACATTATATTTTAAATTTACGTAGTTTGGAAACAAAACTAAATTTAGGCTATGACTAATCCAAACCTGTTTTTGATATAATGTGAATATTAAAATTGTCCATCACACAGCTTTATAAAGTGACTTAGTTTACCACAAGGGATACGTGAAATTGCTTTCTGAGAAAAATGAGAAAGTCACCTTGACAAATGTTCTCCCTCATCAGATAAAGTTCGGACCATAACACTCAGTACTCGCTTTACACCGGGCATTGTACAGTATTGACATTACATCGGATATGGAATAAAAATATCATGTAACATAGAAGTTCTTGCCTGTTAACACTAATTCGGAGCGAAAACATAAAATGTATGCTGTGTGTTATACTGTACCATTAAAAATTTTGAAATAAAACCTAGGGTTTAGAACCTAGGCCTACAACAGTTTTTATTGGATTTTTCTAGCAATCCAACTGTATAAACGACTTTTCTTTCTATTAAACTTCTACAAGAAATACCAATTACTTTCGCTCTCATTCATTTGTAGGCTACAGTTGTTATTTTCGATAAACTTTACAAAATATTATTTGATTGTCATGGTCAATTTGGGTCTTTAGCAGAAGACTTCAAATGTTTCAACAGTTTGTAGCCTAAATTGTCCCCAGCTAATTAAAAACTACCACTTACAACTTAAAAGGTAGACAAAATAATTAATGACGTTTTACGATGTTACCTTAAACAAATATTTTTCAATTATAGTTTCAAATGTAAAGTATTTAATAGGTGCACACATACAGTACATTTAATGTGTTAAATTTATTTGTGAGCCCTAAGTTGATGATTAGATACTGAAAACCTACAGCATTGAGAATGATGACTTGGACAGCCTCATACTACAGACGGTTATTTTGAGAATGACTTGAAAGTGACTTAAAAAGTTCAATTTTGAAGAGTACCTATAATATAACATCTCAGCTAAAACAGCTCCAATCATTTGTAATAAACATGTATGGAAAACCCGATCGCCTCGTCTAACATGGCCGCTGCGAGACAAAAGTGGAAACGCAGAGCAGCGCCCGGCCTATCAAAACCAGAGAGCACCAAAACAGATGAATTCACAAAGGAACATCTGTAAAATGTTTGTGTTTACACCTTTTATTACGGTTGATAGGCCAGCCGGTACGTGATTGCCACACACCGACGCCACGGACTTGTTTATGACAACCTTAGTACAAGTTGTAATGGTTGTAGTTGAGTTGTATTCAGTTTCCATGACCACTGACGTCTGATTGTAGGTTCGTGGGTGGAGAGCTCAACGCCTGCTACAACGCCGTGGACCGCCATGTGCTCGCTGGGAAAGCCTCCAAAGTGGCGCTCATACACAACAGTCCCGTCACCAAGAGTCTCAGAAAAGTCACTTATGGCGAGCTCCATCATCAGGTCAGTGGAGTAGTTAGATTATAGGTTAGGATATTCGAATATGCTTGGAATTAGTATACGTCATTACTAGGACCAAAAGTGACATTTTCTGGTGGGCGCTCAAGTTTCACGTGTGAGGCAAAGCCGAGCATGTGAAAGTTATTTTCACGTACGAGGCATAGTCGAGGACGGGAATAAGTGTCGGAAAAAGGCTTTCGGTACGAGTTACGGACGATACTTTTCATCACGACCAAAAATACTTAAATACAAAATAACATTACCTCAGCAACATTAAAATAGTCTTAGACATCAGTGAATATCGGCTTTATCGACTTTAAAATGTATATGGTTTTATGATTATACATTTTTTAGATAATCATGTTTAACATTTTGTCTGTTGTACCAGTTTGTAAACTTTATGTATTCCTCTTCATATCTTTTTGATTATAAACTAACCACTCTCACTCATTGCCAAATACGTATATAATCAGCTGGTGTTTGTGTCCGGTAAAACTCATTATAGTACACAAGTACGTAATGAAACCCCATTTGATTAAGCTGACCAAACAGCTGTTTTCTGAACTAAATCCTTGCGTGGGAAGTTCGTCAAAACAGTGTAGTGTGGCGTAAAAAGTTTTTACCGTACAGTGCACGGTTTTATTTTTTATTCAATATTTTTTTTATTTGACGTCGTTTGATAGGATACTTCAAATTCTAAATAAAAGTATTCTCGACATTCTTTAAAAAATCAGCCATTTCTTTGCAAATTAATTTTTTTTAAATGAAAATTACCTCCATTTTGAAATTTTGATTGATATCAAGATAACTGTTTTTCTAACGTGGGGCTCTTCTACCTTAACATGCCGTAGCAGATTTCATAAAGATAAGTTGGAACAATCCATAGATACAAAATTATTGTGTGAAAATGCAAATAGCGGACATCTGGTTAACGCAGTGATTTTGGAAAAAAAAGTTTACCTTGATTTTCTCTTTATGTTGATGCATAGAATCATTCCCCGGAGTTTGGCTGTTGACTTACGGGACACCCTGTAGTCTGTAGAGGATAAAATCCGTAAACGATCCCGGTGGATTAATAATCACCAACAGAAAAGTCGCCTAAATATATTGTGAAAATTATAAAAAGTTATACTTGCTCTACAGTTCAATGTTAATGAAGTGTACAACAAATCTATTGAGGATTTTGTATACACCCATTATTTTCCCTATAAATGCCTCCAACATGTTTTATTATTGTTGCAGGTCTCTCTGCTGGCAGGCGCTCTGGCCAAGCTAGGGGTGAAAAAGGGTGACCGGGTGCTCATCTACATGCCACTCATACCAGAGGCCATCATAGCCATGTTGGCAACAGTGAGACTCGGCGCAATACATTCTGTTGTCTTCGGGGGTAAGAAATTCTGTGGAATAAGAGGGCTTTGTTCTGTATTAAATGAGTAACCACTCCAACACCTTGAAGTTTCATGGAGGTGAAAATCAATCCCTTTTATTAAATTATTTTACAAAATGTACCATTAAAATCATCATTCTGTTTTGCATTTCTCACCCCCTGTTAAAATCTTAAGCTTGTTTGGTATTTTGTTTACGTTTAGTGCATTTACGTTCACACGTCACACTATCTATTGCAAGCTCTTGAACTTGAAGCACGCTCTCAATCCTGCAAATCTTTACGTTTGTTTTGTGGATTGTAGCCTACTATTTGGACCACCCACTTACAAAAAACATAATAGGTCAAGTGCAACCTGTTACAAAACACAGAATATAAATTCAATGAATTACTACCTTACTTTTGATTGAAACTTTTTAAAGTTAAAACTTATCTCTATTAATTAGGATAGTGCTACTAGGAATTTTTCAAGTGAAAATATTGCATTGGCTGGTAAAAAAAAAATATTTTGTCGCAGGGTTTGCCGCGAGAGAGCTGTGTGCACGGATTGACCACGCAGAGCCCAAAGTCATCATCGCCGCCAGTTGTGGGGTGGAACCAAACAAAATCGTCAAGTAAGTGCGAGTTTATATTTTCCTACCAATGCATGAAAATGATTACATTGACATAAGTGTAAACAGTACGCAAAATAGCTAATTTTCGCTTTATTCATTCCCGCTCTCAAAATCAACTGATTTCAATGTTGGTGTTTTTATAAAACACTATAATATCCGGTAACGAATTTGTCATACTGCATTAAAAACAGCCGTTTTATTACATGCATTGCGCGTCTAAAGTAGCTCTTTTACTCCCTAGAGAGCAAAATGCCGTTTTAGTAAAAGTCAGCTGTTATAAACTGTTAGCATTAAGCAATCTCATGTATCAAAATTATTCATCGATTGATCTAATTAGTTTCAGTTTATTGTTGCATTCTAGCACAGTGGTGGTCTATTGTCTGTGATTCTAGTCAATAGCTCGATATATCGATGTACTCTAACACGATCGTAATAGACTAAATGATTTAATCACTTACCAAACAGCTGCTTATTTGCATTTCAGAATGGAGAACAAGTTAGAAGTCGTTTTGAGAGGTTATCTTTACATTGAATTGAATATTTTCGATTTCTAACTTAGCTTTTTAAAATAATGTTGCATTATGACGAAAAATATAGTTTTTCATAGCCTATGGGCTAAAAGTGTCTTTTCAACCCTCGCTTATTTTACCACCTTGGCTAATCACTTTACCCCCTAGTGTAGTGATGAAATATCCTACTACTTCATGTTTTGATTATTTTTCTTTAAATGTGTATATGATCAGACATAAATACAGAAGGGCAACCACTTTATTATGTCTTCAAATACATACAACAGTAGTGGCGAACTAGCAATATGACGCCACTTTAGGCACGTTTTCCCCATAAGAATAACATGGTGAGCTTTTTTTGACCACTTTTTTAAAAATCCAGCTCTCGGCCTATACAAGCCTATATAAATGTTCAATACCATTGTACAACTCCATTACTATTTCAAATCCACATGCATTCACATGTATATTCTCATAATCATCAACTTGACAGTGCGAGGTTTGTACGCGAAGTCGTGCGTGCTCCCAGCTCATGGCGCGCTCCCTTGGACATCCTTAGTGGAAATCCATGAATTCTGGCTACTTGGGAACCCAAGCCATTTGACATATAATAAATCACCTTTTCTCCTAATAACCTTTTCTATCAAATACATGTCTTTATATTTGGTCTTTAACAATTCCTCTGTATAGAAGCCTCCCCTGATTATATTACCATTTTCATCTTTCAAGATATAAGTCACAGGCTTTGTATTCTTTACTTCTGCTATTGTAAATAGCTCCCCTGTCCAATTCGGGGTATATCCTTTACTAAAAACATGTTTATACTTGGAAATTCTCACACTATCACCTACCTTATATCTTGGCTTTTTAACTTGCACTACTTTAGAAGTCAACCTCTCATGCACATATTTACTGTTCTTAATATTCACTTGGTTAGGCTTCATTCCTATAGATCTATGCACCTTATTATTATATTTTCGAATTAACTTTGGAAGTAAATCCAACCATTTATAACTCCCCTGAGCACTAAATTCCCTATATAACCAATTCTTTAAAGTTCTCTGAAACCTCTCCACAATTGCAGCCTTAGTTGTAGAAAATGTGTGATAGTGATTAATATTTAATTGTTTCATTAGTTTGCTAAAATATTGATTAAAAAATTCTTTTCCATTGTCAGATTGAATGTTTTTAACCCCCTTTGGTAGAATGGTTTTAATGGCTTCTGTAACCACCAGCCCTGTCTTATTCTTTAGTGGAGCAGCATAAGCTTTTTTAGAAAATGTATCTATTAAAGTTAAAATATATTTATTACCAGAATTCTCTCTAGCATAGTTTTGCATATCAATTAAATCTATTTGTACAGTTTCGTTTATACCTAATACTTTAAAAGACCTTCTAATGAAATTCTTTCTTGCAGGCTTATGAAGTTCGTATGCAATTTCATTCATTTTTTATAACATCACTCTTTCCTTGTACTGTAAATATATTACCATTAGCCCCAATCAATAGATTATCTTCCATTCTTTTAAATACATAGTTTTCTGGTATATATGGTCTATTATCTATATACTTAAATCCACTCAAAGATGTGGGGTCGGCAACTAATAAATCAGGATTGTATTCCATCAAATTAAATTTTCTTCCTGCATATACAAATTTTGATCCATCATAATACATAGCTTGTGACATTAAACAAATATCATCTAAATATTCCCCCATTGGCAGATTCCTTATAAATTGTTTTTTGGCATCCCAACATTTTTCTTTTTTATCATAAGTTATAGTCTGTTCTTTTGTAACACAGTCAGTGTCATCAACGGCAGGTTTAACACGTACTAACCTTTTATTATTAAAATCCCAATAGCCTGCTTCCATTTTTGGAACTTGTGAAACATTCACAGCATCCTTACTATCTGTACCTTCTATCAAATCGCTAAGTTTCTGTTTCTTAGCATTCCAAACACCATTCTCTGATTCTAAAAATTCATAATTATTATCGTCTTGTACAAATTTACCATCTTCTTTTCGTATTAAAGTCTGTTGTAAAGTGGGCACATCATCTAAACTTTCACCCTTTTCCACATTAGTAATTTTCCGTTTCTTAGCATTCCAAACACCATTTTCTGATTCTAAAAATTCAAAATTATTATTGTCTTGTACAAATGTACCACCGTCTTTACGTATTAAAGTCTGTTGTAAAGTGGGCACATCATCTAAACTTTCACCCTTTTCCACATTAGTAATTTTCTGTTTTTTAGCATTCCAATTTTTATTCTTAGATTCTAAAAACTCATATTTAGTTTTACCTTGTAAAAATACATCACCTTTTCTAGTTAATGTCTGACCCAAAGTTGATACATCATCTACAAACTCCCCATCTTTAACATTACCAATTTTACGGTTTAAACAATTCCAACTATCGTCTTGTAAATTTAAAGTAGGTTCATGACTAGCCCTGGTTTCTGCAGGCTTATTATATGGATTATATAAACGATAAAATTTATCTATAAACATATTTTTATTTAATAAATAATTCCACTTTCTCTTAATTCCTCAATAATGGAATCTATTTCATTATCCACTCCTGAGTTACCGGCTTGGCGACTTAGCCAAAGAAGTCTTAACCTATCTACAAGCTCATTAGGATCATCCCAATAAATATAGTCTATTTTATTACCAGTCACTTGTCTCAAACCTTCACCAACAGATTTAAAAAGAGGTTTAATTATATTAAGATATTTAGTATGTCTATTACTTGAAATTGGTGCACCATCTTTGTAACTCTTTAAATGCCCATTTGTAGCTTCCAAAATGTCTTTATAATTTTGCAAATCAGCCTGAGTATAATCCTCAGGTTCTTTTAAAGTTAACAACTGCCACAAGCCTTTTGTCCCCTTGTAGGTTTTATTTGCAACTGTAACATCATCATTGGCAATATCAACTTCCTTATTTCCAATAAAAAATTTATTTGCTTCTCGTCTAATACCATATGTAGTGTCTGTCATACTACTTTTACTAAGGTAATTTCCTAAATAGTCTGATGCTAAAAGACCAAAATCTAATTTCTGTGGAGTGGATTGCTGTAATGGTTGTAATCTTGGTATCATTGATATTCTAGATGGAGTCATTGGGAGTATCTCCATTCGAGGACTCTCTGTTTTGCCAATAGATGTGATTTTCTTTAATTCTTGTAATGGCTCTATTAAAGGTTGGAATGTTTGGAACCTCTCTTCAGCCTCTAGAAACTTGCCACGTTTTAAAGCTCTATATTTCTCTCGTATTTGATTTGCAGAGTCAACTAATTCTTGTTGAATGTTTTTCATCTTTTATTTACATTTTATTTATCTCATTTGACAAAGGATTGTACTCAAACACTTTATCATGTATTATCAAACAATATGCAGATGTATTTGCTGGCACATTGTCTGCAGTTTCAATCTCTAATTTAATATCAACAATTCCTTCCTTCACTGTTTCATTCTGTCTAGAACAGTCTATTATAATTAGTGGATATTTCTTCATAAACTCAGCCCTACTAATCATAGGATCTGGGATAGTATTATAGTAAGTCTCTCTAAACCTCATAAACATCTCATAAGCTTTAGAGACATCTCCATTTTCAAAGTCAAGATTTAAATCACTATAAGGATAATATTCAGAGTTTAGAAATACTTTGAGATTTTTTAATTTACAGTGATCAAATTCGTCAGTTCTTTTTCGTGCACTATTATCCCTAGCTGTTTGGAAACCAAATATAATATACCTAGGCTTCTCCAAACTTGAAGATGCCTTTACTGACCATGTATGTCTTGTGGTATTGGGATATGATGGAAGTTCATGCAACTCTAAACTTCTAAATGCAATTTGCAAATTTTTATTTTGCAATAACATCTTTTGTAATTGTAACTTCTCCCCATCTGATGGTATCACATGTGGCATGACCCATTGAATAGAGTTAAGTGTAATTTTGGGAATTGTATCAGCAGTGCCACTGGCTGGAGCACTAGTGGTTGTTAATATACAATTCAAATCATTTTTGGATCTTTTCAACACCAATTCTTGTTTGACATTTACTAAAACCTTATTAAAATCCTCGAATACACCCATTAACAACTCTAATGGCAAACAAGTACTGAACTTGCCACCTTTATGGAACTCTTTTAAATTCGTGTCAGAATCAAATGCTACATTTGACAATTTAGTAGTTTTATTGTAAGAGCTCAATATTTTCATAAGACTAGAAATTCCTGGGTTTCTTACAATGTCTATTTCTTTACCTGCAACTTCGTATCTAATTTCATCAAATAAGAACGCAAATGCATTATTTATAAAATGACCTTTATCATGATTTTCAATTTCTCCCTTAATATACAGATAACTCCTACATGGGAGAGTTAGCAAATCTTGATTATTAATACATATTCGAATTTCATCAGAATTATTTATTGCTAAAGTGTTGTGGGGAACATAGGAGTGATTTGTAATTTTAAC